TCTCTCTCTCTCTCTCTCTCTCTCTCTCTCTCTCTCTCTCTCTCTCTCTCTCTCTATCTCTACTGTATTAACCATATACCTAACGCATTCACATTTGATAGCGGGGTATAAAAATTACATGACCAGGCGTAGAGGCTCGCGGTATCTAGATTCCGAGTCCTGCTTCAGCCTCCACACAGTCAGGCTGTCTGTCATAACTCACGAGTGCGCTGCCTCCGCATCGCGAAGAACCGCTGCGCAGGCGCAGGTGAACTAGTAGACAAGAAGCTGCATCTGAAATGCAGAAGCAACAGCAGCAGGAGCTGCAACAACTACTGTGGGAACCATACCGATCTGCAGCTCCAGCGAATTAATTTGTGACGCGCGCTGCCTCGCTGCAGTCCGCTTCTGAGTGCTCGTTCCACACTGTGGCAGCCGCCAGGCAATTTACTCGCACGCAGGGCCCGGCCACTGCCAAGCAGCGTGAAGCAGCTTCCACCTGGGTCTCCTCTTGGCTGCAGCTCGTGACTGCAACGTCGCGACGTTTGGCAAGTGGCGGCTGCTGTAGCTGTTCCTGTTGCTGTTGCTTTTGCCGTTGCTGTGGTGGAGGCAGCTCTTGGCGGCTTTGGCGCTGGTGTCAAACGCTTTGTAATCTGTCACGTCGCATCGTTTTAATATTTTCTGCACTCATGGGCCCTGCTATACGAGGAAATGCAGACGCTTGCCTGTAAAAATAGGCGTTGCCCTTTGGTATTTATGATCGTTTGCCAGGCACTGCCCCCATCTCTGTCCCCGCGACCAACCGGCCCGCTGCACCATCTGGGATGCATCTTAGCCGCGTTTTGTTTGGTTTATCATCAGCCGCAAGGCAGAGTCTGCTCTGCTGAAGCACGTCCAGCTTCGTGGCGCTGTCCCGCTGCACTGACTGCGACTTGGTTTTTGGGTAGCCTCGTTTTATTATCTAAATCATTATTAGTTTGACCTTCAGCCCGAGGTATTCGGGGCGGTTTGTGTACATGCTCGAAGTGGTTTCCTTATCTTATTAATTATGCGCCTCCCGCAATATCCGACTACTGTGCGTGCGTGAGTCACTCGGGAGAGCAAAGAAATCATTGTGAATGCATTTCACTAGGTGAAAAGGATGATGGGCAGCTCAAAGAAGTTGAGATAGGGCCTAGGATGACAGCAATAGCTAGGAATCACTACAATCAAGACAATGAGGAACATTTATATCTATTTATTTTTAATAAAACAAGGATGAAAGCATAAACACTCTTCTGTGATACTCAATCGGATCGGATCGAATCGGATCGAACCTGAATCCAATATCAACTTCATTCAAATATCAACTTCTTATCCCCAGATCCCATTGAAAGTGGGAAATCAAGGTGTAATGTACGTAACAGGCAGTGGGGGCGCGGCAGAGATGACTTAGACATGTTTCTCTGCCTAAAATCATAACTACATATATTGATTTAGCGATTGATTGATATCCGATCGGGCAGATCCTTTAATGATTTTTCATTAGAAACACTAAGCTTATATTTCCTATGTATAACAACATACATACATACATATGTATGTGCTGCTATTACTGATCCTGCAACATTAATTATATATTATTAAAGTACCTATTAAGTGCTTAGCCTGTCCAGTACACGTTGCGATTACGCTGACACACTGTTCACGCTGCCGTTTAGCATTTACCGTTGCAGTAATAAGCGCTAATTGCTACGGTTAACATTCTGTTAACCCATGTCAATGCTCCAATTACTGGCAGTTTAAGCAATACATTTGCAAGATCTGCGGTGCACTGACCCACTAACTGACTGCCGCTGTACATTGCAGCTGACACATAGCGGGTACAGTGACTCATCGCAGAAAAGATCGTTCTCACAAGGCGAAAATCAAAGAAGTATAAACGAAATGAAAATAAAATTCTGCATGCCCATTAGTGGGCGATTCGCCAACCCTACTCAAGTACACATAAGCGGGCAGTCAGCAGGCAGTTAACATGCGTGTAACATAACAGCAACAGCAGCAGCACAAGCAACAACAATATTAGCTGGAGACGGAACCGGTACAGCGGCAGCTAAGTACCACCAGTACTGACAACCGTTAATCAGGCGCCACAAATCAGACAGTGACTGCACCTCCTCCTAGCACCCCACAGCTGTCTGTTGTTGTGTGGCATTCTGATTGGCTGCACTGCGCGGCCGTACTGAGTGCTGGGTGTTAGACAAAGGCAGAGATAGAGTGCGAGGCTACATTTGCCGCTGATGGCATCTATTTTTAGCAGCGATCGTCGTTGCTCAGCTGAAAATGGCGCCACAGTGCCGAATGGCTGGGTGCTATCAAAAAAAGTCTGGTAACTCTTTCTAAGTGTCGCGACGCAACGCGAAGCGCTAAAATTTTGATATCATTGAAACGCCTCAGACCCTAACGTCAGCAAAGGGAAGAACCGTAGCTAGGGGACAACTGTTGTTGTTGTTCTTGTCGTTGGCATCGTAGTACTTTGGCATGAGCATGAAAATTATAAATCAAAATACAAATTTGAGAGAGATCGATAAATAAATACGACACATCAACGGGGCCCAATAAGAGAATAGTACACATGGAACAGGATGTGATGATGCGTGGGCGGGTTGTTAATTGCCAAGTGTACCAGAAAGCTAATCAGCTGGCATGGAATATTAATGAGGGTTGAGCAACAAATAAATATCGTATTGCAAACACCTAAAACGTTCTAATTAAAGCAATTGGCGACAATCACTGAGCCAACCTCAATCACAACTGCAATTGAAACAATCTAGAGGTCTAGACCAAGTCAAATAACAGTAATTGGTAATTAGTTAAGTCGAATATTGCTTGGTGTACTCAAGAATTAATATCTCTCAAGAAATTTGGAACAGTTGACAACAATTGATAGTTCTTGATTCGGAGCTGTCCAAATTGTATTATATTTGGAATTTATGATATTCAGAAGTATAATAATAATAATATTGATCAAGCAAAGTCTTAAATCCATTGATAAACCTTTCATCTTGTTTATAAATATTTTTCTAAAAACTAAATTCAGGTGGGTATATTTTTATATCGCATGAAATGAACTATAAGTACCCCTCAAACTTTTATTAATTACCTCCTAGCTTACTTTATATTTATTTTTATACTTTTAATCCAGCTGCTTGTAATATGGGGCACATGTTTGATTTAAATTATCAAATTTTGCGTTTGGAATTCTTGGAAATGAAGTCCGTAACGTGCAGAGTAGCAGAGTTTGCCGCATTATTGTCAACGGTCGAAAAGTTTGCCAAGTTTATGGATACACGATATTGCAGTAAATCTTAGAAATAGTTCTACACATTTTCTAGACTCAAAAAATTCCTTTTGGATCTACACAAATGTAAATAAGTGTTTGAATTGTAACTCTGTCACCTTAAATTATTGATCATTTACCATTGTAAATACCCCTACAATCACTGATAAAGCTACCTTTTCTTATGTATGACAATTCATTCATTGGAATAAAAGAAGTATGAAAGCTATAGTCGAGACTGCTCGACTACGAGATCCCCTGAACCCTTCAAGCAACTGATATTTCGATAATAATTCGCACACACACAGTCTAATACACAGGCGACTGCGCTTGGGCTGCTCTGCAGTGTTGCCAATATTATGGGAATTTATTTGTTGAATAATTTAGTTTTTAGACATATGTATGTACAATGAAACTTTCAGAACGTTATCACAATGTTCATATGTATGTATATTCCGAAGCACAAGTCTTTAGTATTTTAAATACGCCATTTACAAATATATATATTTTATATATATAAATATGGGTAGGGGTGGTTAGGGGTGGGCGGTAAGTTTTAACAAAAATCGAAATTGTATAAAATGCATTTTAATATCTATTTAAGGTTTGGGACTCTAGCTTTAAAGATGTTGGCGATATAATTTTATAACTGCTTTTCGACAAAGATTTTTATGGATAAAAATAACAGGATGGGTTATCGTTTTTTAGTGATAAGTTTAAAATTAAAAAAAAAAATTGATATCTGATATCTTTTGAGACCGACGCGTTCAAACATACGGACGGACGGACAGACGGACGGACAGGGCCAAATCGACTCCATTATACCCTGCTTTCGCGTTTTCAATGGATTCAGGGTATAATAAGGAAAACCTTGCAGTAAAACGTTCAAGTAGTTTATAGAGCACACTTTGAATAAACCTAGACAAATATCTCTTGCAGATGGCGGGCTTAGTGCGTTTGTTTCTATTTCTGTTATTGACAATTAGAGAAATCAGCTCTACAGACTCCGCAGAGGGACTACCTGCTGTAATAGATGAGCTGAGCACACAGATTGGCATCGAAACAACCATTGTCTACAATCCCCAGCGAAAAGGACTAAGTTATTTACCCAAACTGAAGCCAATCACGCAGATACTAGTGAATTCCATAAACGATTCTGTTTTCAATGCCACAGAACTAGTTCGATTTTTGGGTGAACGAATGCTCTTTGTGCTGCTTGTTAAGACGCCTCCAATCGATCTATTCGAGAAGCTCCATTTACAGTTCCAGACAGCGGACTTTTTGCTGGTGCTTAACGAAAGCCCAGTAACAGATGTGTGGCTAGAGTTTGCCCATCGAGCATGGCAGCTGGGCTACAATGGCCTGCTATTCCTACATATATCGCAAGATCCGGTGCTCTACAGAATGCGCTTGTTTCCACAAATCAAGATCCTACCCACCAATGTGAACGAATACGTACAAAGACGGGGTCGCATTGGCAATATGCAGGGCTTTGAGATTCGCGTTGCGGTCTACTCCAACCCGCCCCGCTGCCTCCTCTACAAGGACAGACACGGCAGGCAGAAGTATGGCGGCTATTACCTGCGCTTCCTACAACACTTTGTGGAGGTCCACAATGCGACCTTTGTGCCCGTTTACACGCCCAACGACTCGCCCGGGCACTGCATTAGGGCGCTGCTCGCGAGGCGAGTGGACCTGTGCGGCGACTCGCTGGCTCAGGGGTCGGACAAGGCTTTCGTTGTGACAAGGGCTATTCGCATGGCTTATGCCAATATCATGGTGCGCAATGCCAAGCCGTTGAGTTCGTATCGCTATCTGTTGGCTCCATTCCACCCGACTGTCTGGATCTGCCTGTTCGTCTACATAGCCTTCATTGTTTTCTTCATGAGCTGCATCCACTGGCAGCAGCAGAGGCGCTGGATCTTCAGCACCTTTCTGCTAGACGCCATCAGGTCGCTACTATTCACGGGCTTCTCTCTAAAGCACCTCCATGGACGCGAGCGGTACATACTCTTTGCTGTGCTCTTCATAGCCGGCTTCATCTACTCCACGTTCTACCTGGGATACCTGAAGAGCATATTGACCACGGAGGTATTCGAGAAGCCGATCAACAGCTTTGCAGAGCTGCTGGAGTCCAACATCAGCATCATGATAGACGAATATAATCGCAACTTGTCGAGCAGATACAATCTGCCGGATATGCTGTGGCCAATCATAAAGGTGGTTCCCGACGAGACGCTGAAGAGGCATCGCAGCGGCTTTGACCAGGAGTACGCCTACATACTCTTCAGCGATCGCATGGACCTGTATGACTCTGCTCAGAAGTACCTAAGGCATCCGCGCCTGCGTCGCATACCCATCAACATATTCTTTCTGTTCTCCGGCTTTCCGATGCGCGAGAGCTACTTCTTGAGGCACTCGCTGAGTGACGCCTGGGCTTATGTCTTTGAGAGCGGATTCCTGAAGAAGCTGGAATCGGACGCCGACCACGACACGATGACAGCGAACGTGGGCTTCGAGTTCCTCGTCACTGACTACTACGAGGCGCAATCGCTGAAACTCGATTATTTCGTCATGCCGGCCATGTCGCTGGCCTTCGGCTACGGCCTGGCTTTGCTCGTCTTTGTCATTGAGTTGACGGCCTGGCGCAGGCACAGGCACAACCAGCGCTAAGCGCTGATGATGAGGATGAGGATGAGGATGCAGTGCCCACCACTTGGCGTTGATGGATTGATGTAGTGTAGTAGCTGCTTGTTCCTGAACACTTTCTAGCATCCGCATGTGTGTCTGTAGTTGTAGTTTTTTCTTCCACAAATAAAGCAGCAATCTAGTTACACTGAGAAATGCTATTGTGGAATTGATATGCAAGTCCTTAACGTTGCTGTAGATATTATCTATAACTAAAATATGAGACTCAGCATCCTGAGCATCCTACCCAATCCGCCACAAATTACCGCTTCCATGCTCTACTATACACTAAAAAAAACTCACATTTTTCCTGTGACTTCTCTATTTGCTTAACACCTAGATCTAAACTATATGTGCACAAGCAACGGCGTCCCTGCACTAAAATGTACAAAAATAGTTAAGTCCTATCCTTTCCTTCTTTTTTCCTTCAACGCTCATCCTTTGCCATCCTAGGCTATCCTATTACTCTCCATACACTGCTTCCTCGCACTTTATTCAAATTATGCTTATGCTCACAAAACTAAAACGCTTTTTGCTTCCACAGCTTGCTTCACAGCGCTACAACTCGTATCAAGTAGTCGCCAATTTGAAGAATGCCTAAGCTTATATTTATGCTCTGTCTCCTCACTAACGTAGACTCAAGCACCTATGATCTAAGCTCAAGTATAGCTGCACTCAATCGGGGACTGCAGAGCAAAACCAACATTATCTACACGGAGCCCGCACAGCCCTCAGATATCTATGAACGGATTTGTGAGGCCCTCAGCCATGTTCCTAGTGTACTGTTTGATAGAACCGATCAGCGCAGCCTGAGCAGTATTAATGACCTTCATCTGCCCAAGCCCCTTTTGATGATACTGCCAGAGCCCAGCCCAGACCAAGCCGAAGCTCTGTTCGAGCAGCTGCCCACGGAAATGCAGCAATCGGATTTTCTGATCGTAGGCTGCGACACTGCAGCAAACTGGCATCAGTTGCTTGCAGCTCTCTGGCAGCAGGGCTTCCCGAATGTGCTGATATTCAACAGCACCGGCAGAGGAGGGCTCCGGGGTGAGTTTTATACCAGCGGCTTTTATCCGCAGAGAGAGCTGCAGCAGTGCAGCATCGAGGATTATTTGTGGAGTCGCCAGCATTGGTTCGACAATCTAGGAGGCCTGGAGGTGCGGGTGGCGCTCTATAACGATCCGCCACGCAGCTTGGTTTACCCCGAAAATGACATGTACGCTGGATATGCTCTACTGCTGCTGCGTGAGTTTCTGGCCCACCGCGGGGCCAAGTTTGTGCCCGTGCTGACGCCCAACTACAGCGTCTTCTCCCCCCACGACTGTCTCAAATACATACACAACAATCTGTCCGACGTCTGTGGGGAGCTGTTGGCTTACTACAACGAAGTTAGCTTTACCGCCAGTTATACGTACCTGTACGTTAATATCTTGATTCCCAATGCGCAGCCCAAGTCCAAGAACTACTATATTATAGCTCCCATGCAGCTGAACACTTGGCTGTCCATGCTTCTCTATATAGCCATTACCTGTAGTTTCGTCAGCTGCGTTTGCCGGCTGCAGCAGGGGCGATGGGAATGCGGCCGATTTCTACTAGATATAATTTCCAGTCTGCTCTGCGTGGGCTTTCAGCTGCGTCTCATTACGGGCTGGCAGTACTACACCTTGTATTCTAGCATTTTCCTAGTGGGCTTCATGATCGCCAACTATTACCTGGCGTACCTGGCAACCATTCTCTCGACGGGTGTCTACGAGCCCGAAATACGCAGCTTCGAGGACATGGTTGACCGAAATATTAGCATCCTAATCGGGGACTACGACAAGAAGGTGTTTGAGATCTACGACTTTCCAGATATCCTATGGAATATAACCCGTCTGGTGTCCTATCCCTTCATACAGGCGCATCGGCGCATCTTTGATCCCAAATATGCCTACTTGGCGCATAGCGATCGCCTGGTACTGTTCGCTTTCCAGCAACAATATATGAAAAAGCCCCGCATGCGTCCCCTGCCTATAGACCTGCAGCACTCGCTGCCGGGTTTCCCAATGCGTCGCCACTGGCTGCTGAAGCACAAGCTCAGCGAGGCGGTGCTCAACAGCTTTGGCAGTGGACTACTGGACAAGCTGGCCGACGACACCAATCAACAGACGATACACATTGGCTACTTGAACCTGATACCCTCGGAGCCATACGAGGCGAAGCCCTTGACATTGGACTACTTCAAAGTCCCGCTAATTATGCTCGTCTTCGGTCTAATCATTGCATTTGTCTGCCTCATCGTCGAGTTACTCTGGCGACGTATACACGATCCGTATACACGCGAACGGTGCGAAAGAACTCGAGAAGCTGAAAAGGAAACACCTGGGGAATCTTAAAGTAAGTATTACAGCCTATTGATGTCATTACTCACACTTTTATGAGATTATAAGAGACTTTATTTATAGATGAAAAATTATATCATTACAAAATTGTAATAATTTATAATATGTATTTCCCAATTTAGCAAATCGATTTGGAGTCATTAAGACTCTGCAGGATTCGGGAAATGCATTAAATTGAATTGTCTATTAAGACGAAGTAAGACGAAGTTCGGTCAAAACTTAAACATATATCTCTCAAGAATTCATCGATAATTGCTTTTCAGCTAATAAATTAATCGGCATGACTCACTATTATTAGCTTATGAGAGACTTGATTCGTTATTCAAGAATTAAATTTTCATTTGGAGCTATCTATCGTCAGGTGGTTTAGTTCATTTTTGAAGCGCGATAGTTTTAATCAAATCTAGACAGGCGTTGCTCAAGAAATTCAACTCAATACAGCATTTCGGTTTTACGAAACCTCTGCAAAAATATTTATTGATCAATAAGCATAAAATGGAATTGTGTTCCAGTCGTTCGAGGCCAACCCTTGAAAGGTGCTCTAGAAGCTTCCTAAACGGAATTCAAAATAAAAACCGCATCAAATCTATGCGAAGCACCCTCTAAAAGATGAGAGAAGCTGGCCATGGCTCAGCTCGAGCTCTTTGACAAGCGAGCAAAATAAATAGCACTTGAGATATGTTTCCAAAACATTTGTCAGCTGCGAACTTTGGGTCCGCTTACCCCTCCTGCTGGCCGCCTGCAAGTATGCAACGCAAACGATAACACAAAACATGCCAAGGAAGTGGTACAGCCACCCATCGTCAGCTTCGGTCGCAGATGCTGACTTGCACAAATATTTGGCGAAAAGAAAGAGCAAAAGCCGAAGATGGAACAACATCAAAAATTACTTTAGACAGAACAGAATAGAGGGTTGTGTGGGCGTTGTCCGCTACATTTTGCCAAGGGGCGTGGCTCGACACATTTTGAAGTTCATTGACTTGTGCCACGGTTCTTGGCGCCGCAAAGTATGCAACCCAAATGTGGCGACAATAAAGTTTATGTGCGTCGCCAGCCGCAAAAGAAATAACACTCTACAATTGCAGCTGTGTGTGTGTGGGTGGGTGTGTGTGTGTGTGGGTGTAGATAATCACCAATTGCCGGGCGGTTGATGAAAATAAAAATGATACACATTGCCTTGTGCGGGAGCGTTAACTTTTTGACAGCACTGTTCGAGGCGGGAGACACAAATTTCAAGCAGGCCTGGGTAACGCCCACCTGAAATCCAGGCGAAGGCTCGGGGTTCGAGTCACGTGCGTGCCTGGACCCAATATCGCTGCTGTCGCCGCAACGAGAGATAAATAAAAATTCGAAAAAAAAAAACACATACATGTATACATACAAATATGTATGCCCTTCAGTCGCTTAATTGCTGATTTCGTGTTTTCATCGCGACTTTAATCGATTTCGTGCGCAATTTAACTGCCCACGATTGTCACATGTGGCATGCCCCCCTAGGGGTATCGGGCCGGCCAGTCAGTCGCAGTCCGATTACAATCGACTTTAAAGTAAACATTTGTTTTTATTTTTCCAGCAGGGCGGCTTTTAATTAAGATTGCGTAGGGCGATAAGTGGCAAGTGTTGTGGCGAATCGATTCCGCAGAATGGGGCGGATCAAGACTCAATATAAATTCCGGATTCTCTGCGCTCTTGATGCACATATTTATTGTGGCTTTAGCTGTGGCTGGGGCCGTATCTGTGGCTGTGCCATTGTGCACGTTTATTCAAGAGAATTCGGCTTTCCCTTGCCCGGTAGGGCTGCCATGGACATGAAAGCCTCAAATGAAACATTTCTATAGACTTTTATTTTCTTACACCATGTCCTGCCACATTTATTTTTATAGAACTGGGATATTATGAACACAACTCAAAAATCATTTAAGCTTAGAGATAGCTGCATGATTTTACTACCAGATATTTCATATCGTATTTCATTTTCCTTCTTTCTTTCCCACTGAGCACCCAAGTGAATGCCAAATATGCGCAACTGTAGATGTTTAAACAAGATTCAGTTTGGTTACCTCAAAATAGTAGGCCTTACCATCTCTAGCTAAGCAATGTGCTATCCAGCAAGCACAGCGTCTTTAGAATAGCTTGAACTATTTTAACAAAGTCCGTATCCTTATTTCTATGATATATATTGGCATACTTTAGTCTCTATTGAATTTAGATTAATACTAAAATGAGTTTTGGAACATTCGTATTCATACTTTTACCTCTGTTTACACTGCTTAATAGTCCAGTTATCCTGGGAGCTAACCCTCAATTCAAATTTCACATTATAAATCTAAAATTTCGTCAATTGTGTAGCTTCAAAGCCTTTAAGTCAACCGAGTGTGTAAGCGAAATGACAAATTTAAACGTGGACCCCGGCGAGCCCTGGGCTCTGACGACAATAGGGGGATTATCTGGTGCGCTCAGCTGTATGCGACGTCTGACCCTTTTATCAGGCGGACATTTGAGCAGCAAATCACAGCCCATGATGCACATATCACAGCCCCGGCTGGACACACACACAGTGGGAAGAAGAACAATTGAAAGGCATGCCCTAAGGGCAATTGCCTGATTCGAATGCCACATAATTGACTGCATGCTTTGTGGGTTTGCTTTGCCTTGATTTGGCCTGACTCGGCTTGGTCCGGCTCAGCTCTGCTCCTCTTCTGGGGTCCAATCAAAACTCCCAGGCTAATTGCAGTTTGGCTCTAAGGTCTCATTGTGTGCTTAGGGATTGTGTGGCATGTGGCATGGGGCATGGGGCATGGGGCATGTGGCGAGAGGTTAGGCGCTAGCTCCGGCGACCCGGTCCCGATATGCGAATGCTCTTTAAATGCTATTATTTAAATCAATGCTGTGGCATCGCCTTAAGGCCGGCTCAGCACATATATGAGGTGGATATTTATGTGCCATGTCTAATTGTCGGCACCGGGCTTCAAAGTGGCCTCGTTACCTCTAATTCGCCCCTCCACTGCTCCGCGAAATGCATTTATCGCACTCCAACTTATGCTAAGATAAACGACCATCGCGCAGCCAGGGAAAATTGGCCACACTTTCCAGACGCTCAGACGCTCAGTCTCTCAGTTTCTCAGTACCTGGGCTTGAGCTTGGGTCATAAAGAAATATACCTGACAATTGGCAATTTTTGGTTGATTTTGCAATTTATGGCCACAGCGAGCAGCGGGAGCTGGCCAAGAGGCAGCGGCATGTGTCATTGGCGGCATGACCAAAAGACCCAAATATATATGTATGTATGTAGTATATAACGACGTCTTGTGCTCGGGATGAGGTAGATTGCATCTCATGAAATAGTTCGAGCAATTCAACTGAATTTATGAAACGCTTAAAAAACGTCTTTGAAAATTTTATAAAAACCGCATAAAATCTCTCTGCTCTTTCAGCATGGAACTGCATCGGATTTCTATTTTGAAAATCATCCAGTCTGAATGTCTGAAGCGATACTATAAAAACCACTCGAATAATTTATGTATTTATATGGCTGCACTTCAGTTGATTATACAAAAAGAAAAAACAATTTTTTAATTTATTTGCACACAATACGTCTGCAAGTTATTCGATTAATCAGCACACAATAAATAATATTTTCATTGTTTTTAAATTGGATTTACGCTGAAGTTTTTGAATTGATAATAGTATTAATGTCTGCTCTGACATTTGAGAATTTTCTCAAAACATTTATTTAAATTGCTTTATGAACAACCTTCAAGAGATCGTCGACGAACGATATCAAGGTAATCGATGAGCTATACGAAAAAAATATATATATATTTATAGTTATTGTAAGCAAATATGTATTTCTACATATTCAAAGACTATTTATATACAGGTAAGTTATGCTGATAAGTTGTTTAACTCATCCGTAAGATCAAATCGTGAATGTATGAATCATTTCTCAACTCTCTCACTCAGAACACTATTGTTGTTATGGAGGTAAGTTAGCATTGTCTGCTCGTAGGCATAGCTTCCAAGTCCAGCTGCCTCGAGTTGCTAAATATAGCTGGGCACAGAAACCCAAACGGAACCCAATTAAGCGCAACAAACAACTTCACGCCACATGCCACAGCCACTTATCAGTCCCATCCGATCAGATCCAACATCAACATCAAGTCGATTGCATTGCCGCCGGTGTGCGACGCTGTGCCTGCTGCTGTTCCCTACTCTATCTCGCGCGCTCCTTCTCCTTCTCCTTCTCCTTCTCCTTCTCCTTCTCTTTCTCTTTCTCTTTCGCTCTTGATCTTGCCAATTGTAATGGCCAACGATTTGTCGCTGTCGCAGGACCTGCGGCCACAACAACAGCAATTGACGATCGTCGCGAGATAAGATCGCACTGCGATAAGCGAGCCGAGAAACGGCGACAGCAGCCACATTTATGATAATAAGTTGACATTTGACCACCATGACGAAATAATGAAACGATCAGGAGGCCGTCCGCTTGACAGGTAGGACAGACTACCAATCGCACATGCCAGGTGAGACACTTTATATAACGATTCAAAGAAATATATAATTTGGCATATTCCTGTTTTTGTTTGTGATTCTGTTTTCATACCCAGAACCAGAAATCAGGGTATGTTTTTTCGTGGCAGACCCAAACTATATATATTCTTGATCAGGAAGACGAACTGAGTTGAGTTAACCCTGTTCGCCCATCCGTTCATCCGTCCGTATGTCTGTCAGTCCGTCTGTCCGTACCATATTAAAATAACAGTTGGTCGAAGGACTCAGGGGATCTTATGTCAATATGTTTCGAATAGAGTTTTCTTACTTGTTTCTGGATGGATTTTCAATCTCATGGTAGTTTTCTGTTATAGTTAAAGATCTCGAAGATCTATTAAATCGATACTGAGCATTCTTCTAATCTCTTCTGATTATAGCTGTACAGGTCGAGCGATCTTATAGGTAAATTTAACAATTCAGTCTTATGTGCCCAACTAAAAGCT